TAAAGCGTTCGCTCGTCACGCCGGAGACCAGGGTTCGAATCCCCACATTGGCACAATGTGTGAAACCCATTTGTGGTGTCCCCCGCCGTGATATTGCTGGAATATTGCAAAACGCTGCGTAAATCAAAACTCACTCACTCACTTGAATAGACAATACAAGGCTCTATTCTCATTTATACCATCGCTACATGATTGAAAAGACAATACAAGGTACTATTCTCAGTTATACCCTCCCCATATCCTTGGGTAGACAGTATACTGTCCTATTCCATTCATACTCTTCACTTATTGTGGGAGTAAGGTTGGTGTAGTCGTATGTCGTTATTTTGTCTCTGTGGTTTAATTAAGAAATCATCTTTTGTACTGTAACACAAACATACAGTGAGTGAGTACGGTACGGACTTCCAGGAAATCACGACGGGGGATATCAGAAATAGGGTTCACACATTGTACCCATGTGGGAAATTGCACCCGGGTCTTCAACGTGGCGAGCGAACGCTTCAACCACTAAGCTATCCCACCGCCCCCACACATACAGATACGGTAGAATGATTTCAAAAAGAAGCAAATAGAATACACTAGTTATGATGACGACCAGAAACCAACACTGTATGTTATCTACACTCATCTATTACCTCCACAGAGATTACTACACGAGTGTCTGTCAGGTACCATTTATCTTACAGTGAGTTGGTTCAAAACGTATTCAACGAGCGAAAGCTGATAACATGCTAGAGGCTTAATCCTTGTATATACCAACATTATTTAGACTACACCATTTCATCAAAGCCATCAGCGTGTTCCATTATTGATATGAAGGTTCTCTAACGGTAAATTATCCTTGCCCCAACGGAACATAAACAAGCCTGAATATCACGGTGTTTGATTTATTTAGTTCGAGCAAATCAGCCACTTGTCCCCAGGCCCTGCGTGATTGCTTCATACTTTACGTTACTATGGATACCGATGTAAACCCAAGTAAATACCGTGCACTATTTCGTTGTTAATATCACATTTTTCAATACGGATATCCGCTCTGTGAGTGATACTGGGTAAAACAACCCAATTCAAATTGTTAAAAAGTGGAATACTGTTGTTTTACGTCACATTCATAGCTATTTCAAGTGGGTGAGTGAGTTTAGTTTACGCCGCACTCAGCAATATTCCAGCTATATGGCGGCGGTCTGTAAATAATCAAGTCTGGACCAGACAATCCAGTGATCAACAGCATGAGCATCGATCTGCGCAATTGGGAACCGATGACATGTGTTAACCAAGCCAGCGAACCTGACCACCCGATCCCATTAGTCGCCTCTTACGACAAGCATGGGTTACTGAAGGCTCATTCTAACCCGGACCTTCACGGTAGCTATTTAGGCTGTTCATAAAACAGTCTGGTTCAGAAAACAACCTAGTGGTTGATAGTATGAGCAACCGTCTACTCTGTTACGATGTCACTTTAACACCTAGGGTTACCACCTTGGGTAAATAAATGTACCTTACCGCTCGATCTTCTGTAGTTATATCTTACGACAAACAGGGACTGGGACGTTATCCTTTGTGCAATGTTATAATTAAATGTCTGTCTGTGTAACCCTGTGAAGAATGAAGTGCACCTTATCATAACTATGGTGGTCACATTGGTAATTAATTGGAAAAGTAGACGTTTCTATTGATACAAGCAACTGTAACAATAAATCAACACACCATAAATACTTAAAAAGCATTTATTTGTTAAACGTAATATAAAAATACCTTTTGAATATAATGTATAAAAAAAGAACATAAAACAAATGTAATATTCTGAGATGATGCATGCAAAATAACTGAAAACATCCATAAGGTGTTGTGGTAATATCCTGACCTTGGTTAACATTTCCATCTTATCGCCTGAAAAGATCGGGGCATTCACGAATGTTCTGCCCAACTGTGCTTCTCTCTGTTATGCTAAAAGTGTGTTCACATTGGCTAAGGTCTAGTTCGTATACAATACTTTTTGAAAGAAATACCAAACAACTGGAAAACAATTTCTAACGTTTATGTTTGATTTGTGAGAAAATTGCGTTTTGTATATATATATAATTCTGTTGAAATTGGCTCATACCACAAAATGTTTGAATGTTGATCATGTGCATTCAAATTACATTCTCATACAGAATGTTTAAATCTCAATATATCTTTTCTGAATAAATGTCTATATGATTCCAGTCGGTGTAAACGGCAAAACCGCGGTGAAAATAATATGAATCAACCTCTGAAAATCAGTGATGACAAAAGAAGCGAAACGGGTAGGCATGTCCTGCCCTACCCCTCTTAAGAATACAAATTGTATCTATTTTTATACTCTCATGTGAGCACCTGACATGGGTAATAATACTTTTATCACATATGTCATTCTTTGAATGGCCTACTTTTTTAGTAGTTACATTACAAGCAACTAAATGATTTGCAGCCATTTCACGTGCAGAGACTTCCCCAAACTGATCAAGACACACTCGGAACATAATATTATTGAGCAAGCAAACCTGACATCGATATAAGGCGCTTAAAGGTTGTCCCTTGTGACATTGAATATTTATTCTACTGCCGATTTCAGTTGGTTCAAGTCATCGACAAAAACCCTATCCATTGCTTGAAAATAATCACGTTTGATCCAACATTCTTAACTGGGCTTCAGTTGTCCGGAACGATACTGATGTGGTATTTTATCAAATGTTATGGTTATATTTGTTATTTAGAGGATAAAAATAAACGAAGCATAATGATATCACATATTAAACAAGTATAATATATAAAAAGCAATTAAAAAAACATTAAAAAAGAATCGATTCAAAAGATCAAACTCAATGCATTTCTCAATTCTAAACATTGTACATAAATTGTATTTGTTACGGGAGCATACTAGTAACTTGCCGAGATCCACAGGAGAGAAGTCATTAACAAGGTGACAGTTACGGGTATGCTCTTAAACATAAATTTCATACCTACTATTTAAATGTGACATTCATGATAGATCATTTAACAATAACGTTGTGTTTCAACATGATTTAATTCACTTTCCCCAGAATATTTCTCTCAGCGATCTACACATACATTTACTGGAGCCCAAAGCCGACATAATCACTTCTTGCATAGAGGGTAATACTTACTGACGGTTTGTCGCTTTTATTTATTGTTATATATATGAAATCTATATTGACACACACACTAAGGCCAGAACAATTAACATGGATAAACTGTTCCTAAATCAGGAGAAATAAACGGGACATCTGTATTGGAAACAGCAAGAACAAAGGAGACACTTTCCAGAACAGTCAGAATTTTTAGTTTCGTAATATTTGAGGAAGTGTTAACTGCAATGTTATAAAAAGTTTAAATATATTATGTACATATAATATAAAGAGAAAAAGTATCAAAAACTACATGTTGAATAAAACAAAACAAAAAGAAATAATCAAAATATCTGAAAATAGCAAGTTTATCAGCCTTGCGAGATATTTAGGAATACAGATCCTATTTTCCCCCGATGTTAACATACACCTCACTATATCATACACCTCGCTATGTGATAACACTGACAACAGTTCTATTTTCACCCGATGTTAACATACACCTCACTATATCATACACCTCGCTATGAGATAACACTGACAACAGTTCTATTTTCACCCGATGTTAACATACACCTCGTTATATGATAACACTGACAACAGTTCTATTTTCCACCGATGTTAACATACACCTCGCTATGTGATAACACTGACAACAGTTCTTTGTTCACCCGATGTTAACATACACCTCGCTATGTGATAACACTGACAACAGTTCTTTGTTCACCCGATGTTAACATACACCTCGCTATGTGATAACACTGACAACAGTTCTTTGTTCACCCGATGTTAACATACACCTCGCTGTGTGATAACACTGACAACAGTTCTTTGTTCACCCGATGTTAACATACACCTCGCTATGTGATAACACTGACAACAGATTTTTGTTCACCCGATGTTAACATACACCTCGCTATGTGATAACACTGACAAAAGTTCTTTGTTCACCCGATGTTAACATACACCTCGCTATGTGAAAACACTGACAACAGTTCTTTGTTCACCCGATGTTAACATACACCTCGTTATATGATAACACTGACAACAGTTCTATTTTCCACCGATGTTAACATACACCTGTTATATGATAACACTGACAACAGTTCTTTGTTCACCCGATGTTTACATACACCTCATTATATGATAACACTGACAACAGTTCTTTGTTCACCCGATGTTAACATACACCTCGCTATGTGATAACACTGACAACAGTTCTTTGTTCACCCGATGTTTACATACATCTCGCTATGTGATAACACTGACAACAGTTCTTTATTCACCCGATGTTAACATACACCTCGTTATATGATAACACTGACAACAGTTTTATTTTCACCCGATGTTAACATACACCTCGTTATATGATAACACAGGCAAAAGTTCTTTGTTCACCCGATGTTAACATACACCTCATTATATGATAACACTGACAACAGTTGTATTTTCCCCCGATGTTAACATACACATGTTATATGATAACACTGACAACAGTTCTTTGTTCACCCGATGTTAACATACACCTCGCTTTGTGATAACACTGACAACAGTTCTTTGTTCACCCGATGTTAACATACACCTCGCTATGTGATAACACCGACAACAGTTCTTTGAAAGATGCTCTCACAAAATATTTACAGTAATGAGATCCATCTGGAAAGAGGCATGTGAATTTCACATTTGTATTGCTACTGACATCGCATTTATTGTCGGTCATGTGAACAATGCTCACAGGCGACCTGATTAAAAAGAAACGAAGATTTGTAAATACATTTTCAAGAGACGATAAAATAGAAAACATACATAATGGAATTGTAACAAAGTGAGAAAAAAAGAAAGAAAACTCAACAAAGAACACCTAGCGAACTAACTCAATGAAACTTCATCTCAAGCAAAGTTTGAGTATTCCTGGAAACTGTCCATGTAGGCCTTCACAGAGTCATAGCAGAATTCAAATTGTTCCTGAAATTATAATTGAAAAATGCAGTAATAACTTCGAAGCCAAGTCTCTGTAAATGATTCTATACTCTTGAGAAAAGTAGGGGAACTTTTAATTTAGGTAGGAAGTATAAGCGTAAGCAAACCTTTCAAAGACAGACATCTTATGAACGTACCACAATTTCTCTTTATCACCACCCCTAAACACAACGCATGGGTGCACGTGCACAGTACAGTATCCCATACACGTGCATTTGGTGTCATTCTTGATTTTGAAGGTTTTCAAGAAAGTCGATAAATAGATGTAGACCATTAGTTTTGACAATCATCTTGCATCATACAATTGTTAGTGTTTGTCTCTAGTCGGGTTATTTTTGTTTGTTTGAAAATGAATATCGTTCACATGTAATTTCCCGTCATACACCAATCATCTTTCAAGAGCGATTACTGTACATGGTCATAAGGAAGTACATGTGACGATGCACTCTCAAAACATTCATTATGATCATATCAACATTGATTGACTGCGATATATCTCCCAATTGTTTCAACTGTAACTTCAGAAACGAAGTTCCCCTACTTTTTTTAAGAGTATATAATGAAAACATTCATGCAAGTTCCAGTAACTGTTAGCACTCTTGGTACTTTAAGCCAAATGAGTTGTCAGTCTCTTGATTATTTAATGCACTGTCACCATTGTGAACGATATGCCCATGGTACATTCTTCTTCTGCTGCCGAGTATGCTCTAAATTCATAAATCGTCATACTTCGTTATATAATGACATAATTAATGAACTGTTGCTACGAACAGTATATGGGTTGCATATCGGAAGTTGAGCCTTCTAGGAGCCAGAAATGACTCAAAATGTCGGATATAAAAATCAACAACCAATAAGCACCAATATGGTGAAGGCAAACCAAGAATCTGGGCGATTTGCATCTGATGCAACTTTGGTTCTCGTACAGCGAATAACAGGAATATGTCCTTGTTCCCAATGACTGCGTTAACAATATTTCCATACCAGGTTGGGAATAACTTGTTTCCGGACAAAACGTATGCTGCGTATCGTCTGCTGGAGGGCGACTTCCTTTTCCAACAGCAGGCGCTGCACTGCGCTGGCAATAACACAGAAGAGACCGCTTCTGGTGGCTCCGTCCCTGAAACAGAGTAAACCATTAATGCCCCTGGTCACGTGTCATAAAGGATAGACAACTCTAAATGGCAAAACTCGAAAATGGCTTATTAGGCACCACGTTGGTAACAACTATGGATATCTCCCTACATGTATATATTGTGTAACACTAACAGTCATAGACTGTAACTATACAAAATGAGATATTGAATGTAGTTAATGGCTACTGTACAGGCTAGTGGTACCTGCAGACAACTAGAAGGGGTGAAGGAGCACCAGCGTTCCACTGTCTGAGGAAGTCGATCAAGCTGAGGAGGCTAGATGGTGATTCCGGAAGTGAACTCTTCTTAGGCCAGGCGGGAGAACGGAACACGGTTACCTCCCTTTCATCGTTCTGTTTGGAGGAACAAATCCATATATATCAAAGGAAGATCAGTTGAGGCATGCTGCAGTCAGTGATACACTCTTCAAAAAAGGAACGCACAGAATATAATGTTGATTTTGTATATTCATGAAACATTCAATACAAATATATAATAGTTTTTGAATGGTGAAAAACATACACGAAACAGTTGTAAACGTTTGTAGCTTTAGTGAACAACGTTTGAAAGACTGCACGAAAACGTCAAGGTAAAGAATTAAAAGCAGAAAGCACGTGCACGTTGTGACAATTGTGCTGTGTCAAGGGTTATACATAGTAAAAATCAGTCATCATTTTGTCATACATTTCTCTACTATGAATACACAATGCACACGACTGCATCGACAACAACACAGGCCTTGGAGCAACAACGCATAGGATCTTTTCAGCGATTAATCATGGTTTCTGCTCGAACGCAATACGGCGTGTCTAATGACTTCGAAATGAAGGTTTTCACCGTATTGCGTTTGACAGATTAGGGGGTGGAAGTGGAGGGAGCCATATCTGGAAGCCATATCTCTCTCACCAAATATAACATGGTGGTCCGGAACTGCAAATTGGTACATCGACCAAATTCTTCAACGTCGCCTTCTCCAGATTGTCAACAGACAGTTAGTTGGACAACCAACTCGTGTCCCTGTTGACTTCCTTCATCTGCCGGATCCGAACCCGATAAAATCTATGAACAAAGTCGAGCCACAGACAACAGTTTTCAAATTGACCTGTGGTCGTCTTTATTGTACATGTGAACCAAACGAACTTTGAGTGACAACCCTCAATATCAAGTCGAGCCACAGATTCACACATTGACTGAAAGCATGAACATCGTCCCAGGTCGTGGCGACACACAGTGGGAACACACACACACGGTGAACACACACACACACACACACACAGTGAGTGAATATCGCTTTTAGCACATATTCCACACACACACACACGCACACACACACACACACAACACACACACACACACACAGTGAAATTCATCTGTGTGAAGATTGTTGAATAATGGAAACCCTCTTCGTATGGACAATGCTTGCTTCTTCAAATATTTACATGTGTCATTCAGATTTCTAGTACTGGTGCAAACGGCGTTTTGACATATACATGTAATTTGAAGACTTCACGAACAAGTGCACCGATTTTTCCAGTTTTGCATTCTGCGTGCCTATATCAGATCACTACTCCATAACAGTGTTAAATACTGTAACGTTAAAAACATGTGGCCCCGGAACATGATCCGGTATATCAGATTAAGTAGCAAATATATTACCCATCAGAAGTTTAGACTCACTGGTGTACATATAGCCACTTACTTCAGGCAACTGTTCTAAAATATTCCTTAATGTTTAAAGGTACCGTTTACACATGAACTGATGTATTGTAAAAGAAATTCGTAACGCTGAAAAGATTATTGTCATGAGTTCAATAAATGATACAAATCAGTGTAAATTGGCGATTTCTAAACAAAACTTTACACCAAAATGCAGCTGTTCACAAGCACGATATTTGCACATGCATTTCAGCAATCTGATGCATGATCCTCGTGCAATTCATCTGCATAAGGTCTGCAGTTGGTTCCCCCAAGTTAGTGGAGAAATCAATCTTTGATGTAACCATATATATATACATAACATATAGTGATTGTTTTAAGTGAGTCTAAAGTTTTGATGGGAAGTATACTATCAGAGCCAAAATATCTGATCACTGCACGTCATCAGGCCGGATAACATCTGGTGAACCCGAAGCTGGAGTTTCATTGTACAGTACATCCTTCTACAGAACACGGAACGGGTTACCCTAGAACCAGGAACAACGTGAGAACACACAATGCGGGCTGTCCATTGCACATTACATTCTACATGCATGTTGATGTCGCACTTGACCAAACCAGGAGTTTCATATTTAATACCAGCACGAGCAGGGATCGGTTACTGCCGTCCACAGCACCAGCTTCCGTGTTGATACGGTGTAGATTCTAATACTGTACAAACACGTGGAAGTCGTGTATACGTGCAGAACAAGGATGTATATCGTCACCGACAATCACGATCTTTTATCAGTTTTTTTATATCAATGGTGATCTCAGAGACATGCTTCCCTGTTAATCTGAAACCATCATTTTCCTTCTTGTTTGTCAAGTGAAAATAGTCAATTCAATAATTTTTACATCATGAGATATTTGAGGTAATGCTATTTTGCCATTAGAGACAAATTCAACATTTTATTCATCCGTTAACATAGATGCTATTTATGTTCGATCTTTTAAAGAATAATACTCATGATTTTCATTTCAAGCAGCATGAGTCTTCACATTCCAACATTTTTCTTTACACGTTTAGAAACTGCATTTATTAATTGCCTAGTCAAATCGTCCGCTGTTGCCCACATCGTCTACAATTATGCAGTGAAAGTTTGCTTTGAGCACAGCTTAACGCCAGATTCACATGACAACTAAACATACGTCTCATAAAGGTAGCAGGTAACTTGAAACAGACTAAAATGAATTGTAATGACCCGAATTATGACCTTTTGATGTTCAGGAACTAAAATATACAGCTGTCTTCTAATGAAATGGTTACACGTGTGTGTTTAAAGACAATATCTACATGCATTGGTTCCTTTCCGAAAATGCGAATGGAGTGAATGGAGTTTTAGGCCGCATTATCACCATACGATTCAAGCCATATCACTGTGGAGGAAGCCAGTTCACCATACGATTCAAGCCATATCACTGTGGAGGAAGCCAGTTCACCATACGATTCAAGCCATATCACTGTGGAGGAAGCCAATTCACCATACGTTTCAAGCCATATCACTGTGGAGGAAGCCAGTTCACCATACGATTCAAGCCATATCACTGTGGAGGAAGCCAATTCGCCATACGATTCAAGCCATATCACTGTGGAGGAAGCCAGTTCACCATACTTGTAATCGAACCCTGTCATCGGCCTGAAGAGTCAACGCTTTTACTGGGCGACTGAACCTCCCCGAGAAGTACAGGAGAAATTCTGATCCGTCAGCTGATATCATCGCTGTCTTGACATATTACTTCAACAACTAAGCAGCTCACTCTCTCGTATATAATACATACCTGCGTGTCATTCTTTAGCTTTATTGGTACATCAGTCTCATTGGATCACTCTCTCGTATATAATACATACCTGCGTGTCATTCCTTAGCTTTATTGGTACATCAGTCTCATTTGATCACTCTCTTGTATATAATACATACCTGCGTGTCATTCTTTAGCTTTATTGGTACATCAGTCTCATTTGATCACTCTCTCGTATATAATACATACCTGCGTGTCATTCTTTAGCTTTATTGGTACATCAGTCTCATTTGATCACTCTCTCGTATATAATACATACCTGCGTGTCATTCTTTAGCTTTATTGGTACATCAGTCTCATTTGATACTCACGATCTCCAAAGTCTCATCCATGAAGCATTCATTCACGTGTGTTTTCAGGCATCAAGGTCCTTTATACCTACCTCTTGGCTGTAACAGATTTTCTCCATAGTAAAGCCGGTATGTTCCTCAATCTTCCCTTCACTAACGCTGAAGGGACCAAACTTGGTCGGCTTTTTGTCTTTGGCCCAGAACATGCCACACTTCTGAGTTCAAAACGGGAGAAATGGATAATTTAACATTGTCTTGTTTGTTAGTAAAACACTAAAATTCATATCGGTTTGTTAGGTTAGGTAAACCATAACTGACACACAGTAAAACATTACACGAGCATACTGAAAAGATACATTACGATGTTAAAAGTATTCACTTGTGCCACCTGAATTCATTCATTGTTCTTGTCAGAACTTTACGTTAGTTCAGTAGCAAACGGTACATGTTTTATTCTATGGTAATCGCATTGCATCGTGTTCTTTTTATCCTGTGAGTGAGTGAGTTTAGTTTTACGCCGCACGCAGCAATATTCCAGCTATATGGAAATAATCGGATCTGGACCAGACAATCCAGTGATCAGCAGCATGTACATCAATCTACGCAACTGGGATACAGTGACATGTGTCAACCAAGTCAGCGAGCCTGACCACCCTATCCAGTTAGTCGCCTCTTACGGCAAGCATGGGTTACTGAAGGTACATTCTAACCCGGATCTTCACGGGTCTTTATCCGAAGACTCACCGCGTCCATGTCGGTGTAGTTCTCCAGCAGGACGATGCCACGGACGTCATAGTCGTGGACGAGACGCCAGAAGTCAACAACTGTGGACGTCAGGGGGATTTGAGTGAGGATGAACGCGCGTCGCTTCTCATAGGACTGAAATGTGAATCACCAAGGGATATGTGAAAGAATAACCAATGCTTCACATTTTACTTAGAAAATTATGAAAAACATATATTTTAGTATATTTTTTTGTTTGTTCAAGATTTCTATGACAACAGACAGATAATATATAGATTGACACATTTGTGACAAAAATATTGGCTGGTTGGTTGGTTTGTTGTTTAACGCCGCACTCAGGAATATTCCAACTATATGGCGGCGGTCTGTAAATAATCGAGTCTGAACCAAATAATCCAGTGATCAACAGCATAAGAAGCATCAATCTGTGCAAATGGGATACGATGATGTCAACCAGGTCAGCGAGTGAAAATGAGTTTGAGTGATGTATGACATCGGGACAGTGATAAATACTCACCGGAGCGATGACTGCATTGATGTAGTCGGTGCCCCCTGCTTCGCGTGTTGACAGAGTAGCGCGATGCTTGTCTCCTGTAATAAAGTGGTACAGAGATTGAGAGTAGTCTTCATCTTAAACCTTTGTATACATGTGCATTCATGCATAGCTATTTGCATCTCGTCTCCAGTATATCAATATTGTATTCATTTGTCCATTGAAAGATGCAATGACTTACCCTTGCTTACAGTGTGAACTGACGTACATGCTTAACTAAAGGTTAAGGATTTGTACGTTTGGTTGGTATCTTTCACTATAGCGAGATTCCATTTTGTCGGTTTGACTGGCACTGTGAAACCTACCAGGAAGAATGTCCTTGTTTCTGTTTTTGCCGATGTTCTCGAGGTCCCTGGCAGCGTCACTCACATGGTCAGTCTCAGGGCACTCGCAGAGTTTCTGGAGAGTACAGGTTAATGTGTTGTAGTTCCTGTGTAACCAGGACCCTGTTTCTCAAAGCCATCATAGCGCTACGACTATCGACATAAGTGTTAAGTCGTGGCGCTAATACTGCTTTGTGAAATAGTGCCCAGCACCATAATAGCTCTATGTATATAACGAACGTATAGATAATTATCGAGTCAATAATGACCAATTTTATGGATGTCAACATCTTTTGAGTGGGACGTTTCGATGGAGATTCTTGTACCGTTATCAAGCATGTTCATGTCTGATGTACAATTACGTCCATCATTACATGGTTAACTGGAGCAAACATAACCCACCTGATAGGCAACAGCAAGGTTGGAGTTCTTCTTTAGCTGTTGATGAGCGATGCCATAGAGACTGGCGGGTGTGGAGAGGACTGTATGGCACAGAGCGTCCAGGAGGCAGTCATGGAGGAACACATACTGGGACTATAGAATAATATACGTATATGTTACAGTCAATGTCATTAATCTTGCATTTGAATATTGAGTGGAAATGTCAATATAACATTGGCGTCACGTGTGTGAACATAAAAAACAATACAATAACCAGAACATTTAAGAAACATCTTAAAAACAAACCTTGACACAGAGATAAAATAATTAAACTTTTACAATAAAATCATTACTATCTCATATATGTTCCTGTGTATGTCACTGCAATATCATTGATGACATCGTCCTGCGTTCAGACAAAAACGTTTGTAGAGGCGTTTCCGGATCCACTTTGCTTTCAACTGTACGTCTAACATCCCTTATTCCCATTACCGTGTGAGGTTTCCCTGCATCTACTGACCTGTGTCTGTACCATACTGACTCTGCAGTTCCTGAGTCGCCAGACACAGCCGTAGATGTCCACCATGTTTCGGGTCTCTGCGTCTTCTATCAGGGAGTCCAGAGCAATCAAGGTTCCTGTTCTGCCCACACCAGCACTGGGCAGGGGATGGAAGATGTAATAATTTACCACGCCTGTCTACTTCTAGTTCTTACGGACGGTATACAAAGATGAGACGCCGTAAATCTGATTTGTCTATATAAGTTATTTATAAGCTTGTATCGTATGTGGTAATATCTGTCAACAAACTGTTTTAAAGAGTCGGTGAGTGAGTTAATATTTAGCGTCACATCGGCAATATTGCAGCCACATCGTGACGAGAACAATTTAATTTATAGCAATAGTAAAATCAATAAATTTAGAACGTAATAACCTGTCATCGAAGGACAGTAAAAATACTAGATTATGACAGCTCTTAATTTAAAACTAGTACGCTATCATAAAAATAAATCATTAGAGACAGCAGTACAATATACAAAAACGGGCTATAGATCACCAGCAACTGAAGGTAGATCATCATACTGGGGACCTTGGGGACTGCTTTAAAGAATACATGAAGTTAAAGTTTAATGACGATATATGAACATATACATCACAAAGGTCATGAGCATTGAAGTGAAACATGTCCAGCCGAACTCGTATACGCTCTTCTATACACTCCATCTGTCGAACTCTGGCCAAACTTCGGATTATTGAATTATAATGTTAACCGCTGAGTATTCCTAAATTAGCTTTAGATATAATCTGAGATAATCGAGTAATTATATTTTTAATGTTTTTTTTCAGTCTAAATGTATAATTCAATTGTGATCTCGTCACGGCATAGCTGCAATATTGCTCATGTAAAGTCAGATTTGAACTCACTCACTCACTCCAGGTGTGACTGTACCTGCAGTGTACGACCATGGGTCCTTGGGCGAAGTCACAGAAGGTCCTGACTTTGTTCCTGAGTTCCACCAGAGACATGGTGTTGTCTGGCACATCCTTGTCAGGCCACACCATGTAGTGAACATGTTTCACCGTCCTCTGCATGCCTCCCTATGGAAGATATGCTTATGTATATAACTCTAGGTTCAACCTAAATTAATATCAATTAGCAAACAATTCTATATGTCGGCAATAAGTTTGTGAGGAAGGGTAATTTCTTCTAAAAAGTTGAGGAAAGTCAAACTATGCCTTGAATCGTGATTGCAGAGTCCTCCGGACTGAACTACACAGAGCTTTAGGTATTTCGGTGTTTGCGTCTTTTCGATTGTCCGACGATATATTGATATGTCACTGGGATACCACAGTGCAGTTTAAAATCGATACCCTAATGTATACAGACTCCAAGCCAACATGTATTGTGTTATCTCTTTAATCCCGAGCATTGGGCAGGATAGCAAGTACCATCGTTTAATGTCCTCAGTAAGATGGGGCCGGAAATTGAAACACTAACCCAGGGCTCTCCGAGCAGACGCCCCATCGACTGCACCACGGAGCCACTCAACTAAAAGGAAGGGTCTTTAACTAATTCCACACCTTTACTGAACTAACTTAATTGAAATTGTCACTCCCACCTTCTTTATCGTGAGTGTTCTGATGGTGAAGTCAGCCAGAGGACAGGAGTCAGCCACTGTAATCTTCCAGGGGCCGAACGTCTTGGTGTCCTCTCCTTGTTCATTGGGCCAGTACGGCTCACAGCGTCTCTGACAGAATACATTCATAGATGTTAAATTCAAATCGTCAGCACCAGGAAATTAATATGCAGTCTCGCATATTTGCCCTAACACGTTCCACATAGGGCACAAAAGGTTAGCAATGAAAAATATTTGAACTGATCGGTGAAAAACAGTGATGACACAAGGTGTTGCCACGAAAAGAATATGCACGTCCTCCTCTAACAGTAGCATCGACAAATACTAGTATGCCATTTAACAGCAGGTGTCCGTTAGTACATGTCTTTCAAAGGAACTCTTGTTTATCAATTATTTCGGTCAGGCTGTTTCAGCAAGCATAATGGTTGAATATTGAAATATGATACTGACATTATTAAGCGATGATTGTTTCATTGGCTACATCAAAAGTACTATTATCATTGAACTGATATCGAAACTAAATATCACCCTCCCATCTTCCGTGATATTGGCCAGCATGACAATGACAGGAGCCTGTTCTTGCCAAATCATCTTCCAGAAGTCCACAACAGTGTTAGGCAGAGGACCTGGCACCGAGGTCATAGTTTAGTAACCATGTGACTGACACTTGGAGAATAACTGGTTCATTAATTCAGTATACAGTACATAGAATGTGGGATATCTTAGTCAACATGCTGCTCTCTTAGGATGGAATACAATATTACGTTTATTAATAAAGTATACGGACTGGGAAGATATATAATCAAATACCGTAGTTAACACGTGGCCATCTCAGGGATTAAAGAACAGGATACAGAAGACAGAATGTGTGAAATAGTAGTTAACATTTGGCCATCTTAGAGGTTAAATAGATGGACACAGTAGACAGAATGTGGGATATCTCATTTAACACATGACCATCTCAGGGGTTGACAAACAGGACAGAATGAAGGATATTATATTTAAACATCTCATGACCTGAATGGCATTGTACTTTACTGAACTTGGAAATCTCAGAAATTACTGCCCTATTGAAAATGGCGTGAATGTTGCCATATATATATATTCAGACTTAGATGTCAAAAGGTTTGTTTACCCTGTGTTGCGATGTACTGTTTTCCCCTTGTTCGTCCCTGCAAAATACAATACACCTTGATTGAATCAGGAGCCTTTAAATAGCTTGATAGGTAATAAAGTGATATGCATCTTACAACCATTTGTCAGTGTGTCTGTTTAAAGAGGAAATCAACGTTTGCAACAAAGTGGTTTAATTAAATTAATATCTAATATTCGAGTGTGCTGAAACACTCATAGGGACAGTGGGGTAGTCTAATGGTTAAAGCGTTCGCGCGTCACCCTGTAGACCCGGGTTCGATTCACCAAATGGGTACAATGTGGAGCCCATTCCTGGTGTCCCCCGCCATGATATTGCTCGAATATTGCTAAAAGCGGTGCAGAACATACTCACTCACTCACTCACTCACTGAAACACTCATAGGTGCTTTCACAATCATTTCCAATTAGCTGACCAAGCCGTATTTCAGCGGGTTGATGAAGAGAGTCCCGTCAACTCACATCGATATAGCTGGCGTTTATGTAGCCACTGCTGCCACCATTCCCTTTCAGAACTACCAGACAGTGGTTATCTGAAACAAATCATGACCCTATAATCTGTAACTATTTACATTCAGGTCTACTTAATCTGCATCAAAAGAAAACCTGTCTCACCTGGACTGCCTGTACAGTACTTTTCAAAGTATAATCTACATGTGTAGTCGTGATTTCAGTTGCAGATTGAACTCTTAAAGACTTCGCATTGTCACATCAAAATGTATGATCTTGTTCTAAGTAATGGCAACTTTCAAGAACAGAATTATCTAATTATCGCTCGTAACGTATTTTGCAATGATAAATACCGAGCTTCGTCAAGTCGTTTTTTAAAAACATATTGTTGTGAATCTGTAGAAGATAAATTTTATGAATCCAATTATTGGAAACTCGAACCTACGCCAAAGGTTACGTAAAGGCAAACAAATGAACAATTGGAAATTAAACAGAATATCGTTCCCCGCTATTTTCGTTAAAACGTTTGAATCGTATTATTAGGAGTATATTGTAATACAAGACAAATCTTATGGATAACAACTTCATTTCTGGGCTAGTTCTTGCCCCTTCTTCAGGTGGATAATGAGTATATTGCAGCAGCTAGATTCTACAGAAATAGTATTAATGCTTTCATAAAAATATATTACAAGCACAAATTTGTCATTTACAATATGTACGTGACAGTTATCACGTAAAACCACACAGGCCATACTTCAGCCATATCGTGACTAAAAGTCACGAAACATTAAGTTACATTCAGTACTCAATATTGAAATGTTATTGGAATTATAAATCCTGTGATAAATAACTGTTATTATTTTGAAGATCATGGTGTAATATCATTATATATTAACCATTGATTAAGTAGACTTCTATGTCACCTGTAACGCACATCCACCTATAAGTGCAATCCTTAAGAAAGATTTGTACATAACGAACATATATCATTGCGTGCTTTAAAGCTGTAATAAAACGAATTTTAGGTGAGTCGAGTGGACTGAAAAAAGACCTGTCTTCGTTGGACAGTAGACTCTAAATAATTAGAATTTACGATATTCATGTTCTCTGTCAATATAGCTATATAAGCTCGTGTCTTACACGGGTAAATTCCTTTAAATCTATTCTTCGGGCTGTTCACTTGCGTCACTGCTTTGTCGTGAATAGCCGTCAGGCCTTTAGGGAGTTCCTGTAAATTCAACACCAGAGTGTAGACATTCCGGAATACATCTTAAAACATATTTCATATGCACATATGCAATATAGTGATGGAAATCATTGATAACCCCAGGTATGCATAACGAAAAAGAAGACTATCTCTTCCGGTAGTGCAAAAGCACAATTTCAATGAAAGTAGGTAAGGAGATGTGAAAACTGTACGTAAATGTTAAATATATGAAAAAAAGCAAATGACGCATAATACGTATTTTTAGTGAGACAACCAGTAACATAACATTGATCTTTGTCTCCCAGGAGGAGGGTGTAGGCGTAGTTTCAGGCACATGGACCACTCGTTCGTGACTCAGGCCTTCACAGTACGTACAGCATACTCTTTCACCAAGATTTCCTTTGTGGCTTTCTTCCTGGCAACGAATTCCTTGAAGGCACTGACTGCCACTGGAACACTACTCGGGACATTGACATAGATAGCCTCGTCTTCGTCGTTGGCGGCCACATGTTCCGATGCATCTTGGCCTCCACGGGCTGCCATAGGTAGGTTCATCCCGTTAGCACTCCTTTCTTCAATCTCTGAAAACCACACAACGGAGCAATAGTAAGCCGGCTACCAACTACTTCATGTGATCTTATGGATATCGTTTACACCATTCACGGTGATAATTGTAACAAGAAATATAGAAAATCAAAGAAAAAAGTGTAACAAGAAATATATAAAAAAACACGTTATGAAATATTTCCAAAAATGACCGACACCACTGACTAATGACCATGCACATACACTTTGATGTACATCTGGTTTTACTTACTTTTGTCCCTAAATCTTCTCAACGGCTCTCTAAATAAAACAAAAATACACGTACGACTTATTGACTTCGGCGATGAAAATATATATTACATGTAGAATTTGCATTACATAATTTCTTGCTTCTGAACTTTGTCTGGTTCTCAACTATGTCATTGCACATGTTTGGTTTTTATCCTCTGAAACGAAAGTGTTAAATAGTATTCGCACTACCTAAGATCTATATCTGATCATGGTGTTTCGTCTCTAAAATACTGTATTGTTTGTAGTTGGGTTATTGGTTTATTAGTCCATACAAATAAGTAGAAAAACACTCACCTAAAGAAAACAACACACATGACAAGTGCGATCATGACGATTAGAAAGAGAAGGAGTCCAACGATGAGATTTACATTCTGGGGGCCGGCTGCAATAATAACAGGGACACTGGTAGAACAGGAGGTAACACTGTTGCAGGTACAGTTACAGGAATACTCATAGTGAGTGTAATGAGGATGGTTTATATGAGGACGACGATGGGATGTGCTCGAGAAATATGGAAATGGAAAATGAAGGTACTCAATAAGTATTCATGAACTGAAAATTCTATGTCCATAAAAACAGACCTAAAAGATTCACATGATGAATCTGTGAGACGAAAGTACCTGTCAGGTTACATAGCGATCGCAGTTCTTTGACTAGAATCCCTTTGCTTCAATATATACTGAGAGAAAAAAAATAGGGGATCAAATGAAAGCAAAATTTTCCAGGTTTCTTCACAAGCTGTGCGATACAAGGCAACCTGGAAAAAAATAAAGGAACACTTTTGCTTACACATGATCCCTTATTTTTTTTCCTTCAGTATATATCGCTTCTTGAAACACTATGCTCATAGAAAAGAATGGGAGTGCTGTGTATGTTTCCTCCCTGCATAGCATTCCAATACTTAACACATATGTTCGCACGTGATGATCTAGTTGTATATGAAGCGGAGTTCCAGATTATTCTATTCAAAGGTTGGCCATACTGACTTAATCAGTAATGAAAGCCCAGACAATTACCTTCAAAAACTGCACAATACTCTCCGCTTCTTCCGTTCAGACAGCCATGAGTACAGGAGCCATTCACATGGTGACACGTGGCATTGATACAGTGGATGTTGCAATCTTCCTTACACTTTTCGCCATACCTTCCATTGTCGCACTCTGAAACCCAAACAATTCTTTTGAAAGAAGCCGTCTTATATGCATCGTAACACATCCTTCGATGTATTCAATGTTTCAAACAGACACACGCTAAGACCCTTTGGGGACTCCAGATATCAGTCGCACTTGACACTGATTCTAGAGTTTAGGCTCTTTAATGTGTTGCTCCCATTGTGGGTGATATCAATGTGTCATTCTGAATTGCAGATATTTACCCCTTAATAGGAATACACGATTTAGGCAGTGTGGAAGAAATATGAACATGTCACAGATACATGCATGTGATTGACCTTACCCTTTTTAAAGGTAAAGTCAGCAAAACTGATTTGTTGTAAAACGTTTTAATTCCTATATTGTAGTCTTAATATAGTGTGCATCAACAATATGGAAAGGTACCTCGAGGGTATCCTAATCACTACCTTTGTCGCATCTCGTTATGTTCAGGTCCTCGTGTTCCCATCCATCTAGACACACGTCACAACGCCCAGTGGTTCTGTCACAAGTCTGGTTGACACATCCCATGGAGCAGTCCTGCTGGCAGTTCTCTCCGTATGTCCAAGGGGAACAGACTAGATGTTGGTGACAATAAATGTTCACATTTGATAAGAGACGTATCTGTTCCGGGATCAAATTGGCAATTTGTTTAACAATGTCAGTCCTATACAATAGTCCAATCACGTCGTAGCAATAATGCGATGTGTTTACTGTTGGTTACACAGACATAGATAATGGATTATTCACAAAAAGGTCTGTGGCCAAAGTGAAATGCGTTGACAAATCCAACAATAAATTCAAACAAACGAGGCATTCAAAATAGTTCTGATTTCATAATCAGATTCTTTTGGAACTGCCAATTTTGCCTAGTAGCTTGAAGATACAAATGGTTAACCTTGTCATTATGACGTTAACGTTTGGCTGTCTGTCTTCTTAACCTGACAAAGCGAACAGTGTGAAACAAAACACTCATTCTGTTCCACACACTCGTCACTCAAAGTTTGGCTGTCGCTATTTAATAAAAAGGAAAAAAAAGGAAAAAAGTCTGCCAGTATCACGGATCAGTAAGTCAACCAGCTATGGTTCGACTATAAAACCTTTTCCGTACTCTGTACTTGATTAGAAAGCTTTATATAATTCGTTCGCGTAGAAATGGCAACTTGGTTCAACAGATATCCCAGCAAAATCAATGTCCCAAAGATTAACAATAATCCTTTTTCGGGAAAGCATAGACAATACCATCAAATATTACTACCTTCAGGAAAGACATGATACACATAACATTTGCCACGAAACAAGGTGACCATAGATAAAGTTACATTATCTATTTTCAGAGATTCAAGCTAGTTTACCAAATATGAAGGCATACGTGATCTGTATATTTAGAAAACGATATGTGAGATGCTGGACTTCATCATTGTTCATATTTGGGGATAATACATAATGCAAGAAGTAAACACCCCCAAGGGCACCAATTGTGCTTCACGTCTTGCTGATCTGTTCAGTCGGTTTTTCTGCTTGCTTTGCCTGAGACAAAACAAAGGAATTTTGACTGAAGGTCAAAGTAGCGATGATCTGCTATTGTTCATTAACGGTACAAAAAGCCGGAACACTTCCACTAATATACCCACCTGAGCTAGAAATAATGGAGACCACTGAGACAGCCTCGTTATGTTTGATATCTGGATCTATACATAACGATAGAAACACTACACAAGACAGAATAACAAGAAGGGTGCCTTCAACACACCAACAGTCAATTTCCCAGTCAGAACCATACAACATGTGTTATATTTGGGATTACACTTTCTTTGTAAAGTACAGATTATAGTACTTTTTGTGGGTTGAGTCCCACTTTCTAAACTGGCATTGTGTATTTCAGAACCATACAAGACTGACAAGGTTACAATATACCTATGAAAACTGATAGCTGTTACGTTAGGTAAAGACAAACTTAGGTGAACAGCAGTTTTCCTCATGCCACCCAGAACGGCAGTTACCCTCACAACTCCCTGTGACATAGTGGCAACTGAGACATTCACGACCGCACGAGTTCTTACATCTTGGTCCGTATCGCCTTTTACTGCATTCTTTTCAAAATGAAGAAAAATGCAAACATTCTGAGTGCCAATCCATAAAACTTTCTCAGCCAGAAGAAGTCTTTACGACTTACGATAAGAGATAATAATTCTTCATGAACCTGCCTTGAAGCTGAAGATGTCTATCATTACCATACACTTATTGCCAATCGTCAATCAAACAGGTCTTAATTAGTACTTACAATTATCCATTGCTTTGAGTGCTAAGCGAATTTCCAAGCTCGACATTCATGATGAACAATTAAACCGCAAATAGAGAGTAATGCTGATATTATGAATGTGAATGTCGATCAAACCTATTCTATTCGAATTGCCTCGACAGAGATTTCAAATCATTTTTCGACACACGTTTATGTGGGATTAAATACTAACGTTGTGTACTGGGATTTGCATCCATAAGTAGAAATTGTTCCACTCATAAAACACATGTAAGAAGGGCGAAAGGAAAGTAACATGTGATTGATGTAGCTTGAAGTATTACCACTTACTGTTTTGACATTGCCGACCTGTCCATCCATCATTACAGTCACAGTCACCGTTCACGTGGTCGCACGACCCTGGTTTACATCCCTCGTTACACGTCTTTCCACAGCTGTGTCCGTATGTCCCAGCAACACAAGCTGCAGATCAAGTAGTAATGTCTACTGATGTCACTGTCATGTGTCACTGGTAAACGAATGTAGGCAAATATGCTTACATCTATCATTCTATAAAGGGGGAGAGCCTTCTGTAAGCAACAGTTGACAAGGTCATAATGACAAACGAAACAAACTGAACGTATCCCACACGGTGGGATTACCGCGCATTAGTTCAGGACTTCCATGTACATCCTGTGTTACACCTCCTAGTACAGTTTTGTCCATACGTCCCTGTGCCACAGTCTGCAGTAAGTAGTGATTATTACTGTATAAACTGCTGGACTAAAGAATGTGTACACCATGTTTTGCTTTCTGCTAAGCTGAGGCAAACAAGAGACGGTTATTTGAATGAAACGTTGGTACAGGTGTCACCTAGTTGTGTTTTGGATATCAGGCGTGCTGTGAGTATTTCAGCCCACTTATATCTTAATACCGTTTGTAGTGTTATGGTCAAATCCAAATGTAAACCTATGTGGCTTTCAGTGAAAAAAACCTTGCAACTTTGTTCCTAATGAACTTTTCCCTATGATACGACATCTGGTCAACAGTAAATCTCCGCAAATTTCAATCTTTATCCTGACAAATCTTGTACACGAGGTCACGTCAGGTGAACTCTTTGATCAGCCAGCCAGTCGTTTGTCCGTTTATAACATTGGTTTACCTGCATGCAAACACGAGCAAAGTTTAATTCACATTTCATAATTCGTCGCGCCAAAATGCATTTCTTTTTTGGGGGAGAGTATATAATGTCTGACACGCACGTGTAGCACAGCTGTCTCCTGTCCACCCGGCTTTACATCTACACTCCCCGGTGTCATGCACACAGGTTCCCGGCTTACAACCTGTTCCACACTCTACACAGTGTCCCATGTCCATGTAATAGTTAGCGCTGCATTCTGGAATGGAGAACACTACATACACATCTGCATTACTTCACATAATGTTCCTGGACATGTAACACGAACAGGTTTTTATGAACACCAGATATGCCTAAACAGCGTTGGTGCTTCAACATGAATTCGATATGGGATATGATTATATATATCCATAAATTGCATTTTCCCGAGTCATCAAGAATATGGTGGGTGATGTCCATGATCAGGCTATGATGTGTCCTTTGGTTGCCATAATAATGCATGGGCAGACATGAGGCTGAACTACGATGCCGACCGGTAATTCCGCGCACCTAAGCACATCGATCGCAACACGGCAACTAACTTATTATTGTGGTTTACGTGACTAAACATGCTGGTAGGCATCATATTTACCGAGAAATATAAGTTTTATTGACGACTATAAGATTCTAACGTTGCATTATGCCATACGGTTGACCTTACCGGCGTTCTGACGACATCGTTTGCTGTCCGGTAATTCTGTGCAGCAACTGATGCGCGTAACATCCAGATGGAGATCCGAAGTATGGAAGCGTATTAGGGCCAGATTATGTTCAAAAATCACTTCTTCAATGTAAGGAAGAGTGTTTCATATCAAATCCAATCATGAATAATGAAGAATAAGGTTTAAAAGTCCGATGAAAACGAATTTTCATAAAACTGCCAATTTATCTGTCAGTTACTGTTATTTACTTACCTTTAGTGATTAAAAGCCAGTCCCTTGTAGAAATGTCCCGATTTCAAGCGCAAATGTTCTTGCAGACGATGTTTACCTCGATACGGAAGTTCGCTATTGCAGCTGCGCAGATTTACCGGACTCGCTTGTATACTTAGTAGTTACTAAAATACACATGCTTTTGACACATTAAGATCTACTGGCACAGACCTATTATTCTACGGGTTGTAGTACGGCTGATTTGGTAGGAAGTGATTTCGTGCCGTGGTCGCCTAGGCTCGGAGAGTAGGTAATTGTAGGATGAATCGATCTCTATCAATTTGTGATTACGTGTGATAGGGACACTATTAGAAAAAATGACGTCGATATGTTTCAAGGCACGTCTAATGCTGCTTCTAGATAGGCACTATGAAATAATAACTTTACAAAACAGACACCATGACTGAAGTTAAAATTCTGTATAAAATACGTACCCCCAAATTCAAGAACCTTTCTTCATAAGTTAATCCGTAGTTGATAAAACAAGGTAGTATAATAATGAATGCAACAATAAAACTACTGTAGGCTCATATATTACAACAATTCCTGGTACGACATGACTCTTATCATTCGGTAGCATGACGTGAATCGATAACAGTTGAGAACGGATTATGTGAACTGGAAAACATACGAGCAACAAACAAATGATAGTTCAAAGGCTGTTCTTACTGTTGCAGTGAGTTCCCGTCCAGCCAGTTTGACAATCACAGAGGCCGTTAGTCTTGTCACACTCTCCGTCACACCCAGATCCACACAGGGTACAGACTTGTCCGTCTACGTAAAATCTGTCTCTGCATTCTGGAAATTAACACATTTATTATAATGTTGACTCCAAACGAATTGTTATGTCTATCTTTATGATTGGTACAGTCCGCGTTATGTCTATTTTTATGATTGGTACAGTCCGTGTTATGTCTATCTTTATGATTGGTACTGTTCGTGTTATGTCTATCTTTATGATTGGTACAGTCCGCGTTATGTCTATCTTTATGATTGGTACTGTTCGCGTTATGTCTATCTTTATGATTGGTACAGTCCGTGTTATGTCCATCTCTATGATTGGTACACTCCGTGTTTTGTCTATCTTTATGATTGGTACTGTCCGTGTTATGTCTATCTTTATGATAGGTACTGTCCCTGTTATGTCTATCTTTATGATAGGTACAGTCCCTGTTATGTCTATCTTTATGATTGGTACTGTTCGTGTTATGTCTATCTTTATGATTGGTACAGTCCGCGTTATGTCTATCTTTATGATTGGTACTGTTCGCGTTATGTCTATCTTTATGATTGGTACAGTCCGTGTTATGTCTATCTCTATGATTGGTACACTCCGTGTTTTGTCTATCTTTATGATTGGTACTGTCCGTGTTATGTCTATCTTTATGATAGGTACTGTCCGTGTTATGTCTATCTTTATGATAGGTACAGTCCCTGTTATGTCTATCTTTATGATAGGTACTGTCCGTGTTATGTCTATCTATATGATAGGTACAGTCCCTGCTATGTCTATCTTTATGATTGGTACAGTCCGTGTTATGTCTATCTTTATGATTTGTACAGTCCGTTTAATGTACATCTCTATGAAAGACACAATCCTTCCGGTCGTATGAGGAGACGAAAGACGTTTGTCAGTAAATTTCCAAGCTTGAGCAATTAAACCGCAATTAGAGAGTAAGATGATATTATGGTTTATTCTCTATTCGCCTACATCTCACTTCGCCTACATCCCATTTCGCATACAAAAATAATGTAGGCTAATTGGGATTAGAAATTGCACCCCTAATCTTATAATGAACCTAGGCGAATTGGGATGTAGGCAAAAAGGGAACATGCCGATATCATGACTGTCGATCAAACATATCGTTATTCGGATTGCCTAAATGCAGTTTTAAAATCGAACTCGGGTCTTTGATAACGAAAGTTCTAACTCGAAGGGTATCCCACTGCCCCTTTAAAGTAATAAACATATGAGATACAGTTCTCATTAATGAAATAATTATTTCCGGTAATCATAATCAACTTACACCGGTTTTACCTAAAGATGACACAAAAACCACTGTATGATTTGGCCTTAATAGCCACACACATCTCCCGGAAATGATGAAATGCCTGTGGTAAACAGGGAGACAAATATGCCAAAAAACATTCCGTCTGGCTACATTTATAGAGAACTTCAAAGAAAATATGCTATCTCTAAGTCCCTTAAATCCTGTATCTGAGTAGGCTGTCAGTTGGCCGATGACCGGACGGGGCGGTAGTGTGACAGTAGGTCCCGATCCTTGATAAAGAAGGAAGAATCCAGATCTGACCATAGATAGTTGAGGAGATACTCGACACCGAGGAGGAGGAGATGGCACCAGAGTCACAGAAGGAGAGCTTGAATGTTGACGAGTAGTGGGCTGTTGAACATTCTTCAGAGCGAAATCCAACAAGGGAAGGACGACTGAGTGTCTCAGAAGTCTGGAGTTTTTGTTTGTATGTTGTTTAGCGCCGCTCTCATAAATATTCCAGTTATATGCGGCAATTGGGATATGATGCCATGTGTGAAGCCTGACCAACCGATCCCGTTAGCCACCTCTTACGACAAGCATGGGTTGCTGAAGAACTCGGATCTTCCCTGGGCCTTGGGAGGCTGGAAGGACTGTAGATGGTCAAGGGAGAAGGAATGAATGGCCGAGAATGCGTAGCAACAACGAGTATTTGGTTCGGCTGATCTTTGGAGACACGAGGCGTCAAAACAAGCGTCGTAAGTTGTCGCTAAGGTACGAGTCGGAAGGAGCGTTAAGTAAATCGTCGAGCCTTCATTGCAGATCGCCCTGAACGCTTCGGATTTATGTTTAGAGAAGCTGTCCTTTGTCCTCCTGGATGCAACTTTCCTAATCACGGCAACAGTATCGTCCACTAAATGCTGGCATGATGAACATCGCGCATTCCAACTGCATATACCGATACTGTCCATAGGCGATGAGTGAGGATCGAATGATGAAACAGTTTTCTTGCAGTTTGAGCGAACTTTCCACTTCTTGGGCAATGCGTCGTACGTGTCCATGCTTTGAACATTAATTATCCCAGGAGGTGATCTTCCTGGTCCGACAAGAAAGATCTGTTTGGTGTACTGTCTTCATAATGGCAACCACTTGACGTAACATTCTAGTGGACAAATCTTCCCATTTAACATAATCATGACAAACATAAATAACGCCAATAGAAACATTGTCATTTGGATAATCATACACTATACTCAACTGATACAGCCGTCTGAAAATCCGAAAACGGTCTCCACAAAAGGGTTGGTTACACAAATATCTACATGCAATGGTTATCTTATTAGAAATACTGTTTCAGTTGTATCTGTGATTACTTACTGTCACACCTGTAATTAGACCCGAGCGCCCAGCCAAGTTTACAGTAACCTTCTCTACACCTTCCGGTTTCCCGATCACACGGAGATGAAACACATCCAGGGGAACATGTCGAAGCACAGTTGGCACCGTAGTAGCCGATAGGACACTCTGTGTTAACAACAGGATGGATACACTCCAGGATACAGATGGAAGATTTTGTTTTTAGTAAATAGGATGTTCGCTGACATCATAACAACCATGCTTATTTGAAATACATTATGTCACCAATAGTGCAAGAATATGATTAATACTACTCAGTCAAAACATCTGACAGGGACCTTATTTTTCTGGCAACACGATTGGCGCTCATATAGGTCATCTGGGTCTGGACCTTTGTTTTATATGGGCAAATCATGAGTCAGAAAGCCAAATTTTATTCCCGACAACTCCAATTCAGTGCATTAGTATCAATTACTCAATTGTAGAACGATGGAGCTGCATCCTGGTCTCCCCCGTGACGATCAGAGTTAACCCTAATATGCATTAAAGTAAGTTTTATTTAAGATATAGTTCTAATAAAAATAATCTTTTCCGATAATAGTAATCAACATACACAGGTTTTACCTGGAGGTGGCACAAAAACCCTTATAGAAATTGATTCTATTAGGCAAACACACATTCGAGAAATGATGAAATGTCTGTGGTAAACAGGGAGACAGATATGCCGAAAACATCGAATTGTTTATGATTCATACCATCATTCCAACTCTGAACACAACCGTCTGGCTACATGGCTAACGGCACAAGAAAGGCAGGACAAGCATTTAGCATAAAATACACGAACACAACATGTTTATGGTAAACTCTCTGTGCTTGGTTGCTTGTTTAACGCTGCACCCAGCAATATTCCAGCTATATGGCCGCGGTATGTAAATAATCGAGTCTGCACCAGACAATCCAGTGATCAACAACATACAACTGATTGTATATACTGATGGTACATATATTAATACACGCACAGACGCCCATAAAAAACACATGCATGCGCGCACGCACACAGACACCCACAGAACCCCTGTGCACTGGCTGTTAGAATCAGACCTCACACGAGATGATAGAATATAAGACAACAGTGATGTATAATGGCTAAAACGCACGTGTGGCACATCTGGGTCCTGTCCACCCAGCTTTACATGTACAGCTCCCGGTGTCACGTTCACAAGTTCCCGGCTTACAACCTGTTGCACACTGTACACAGTTTCCTCTGTCCGTGTAATAGCCGGTCCTGCATTCTGGAACGGACGGAGAATACAGAATACACATGTGGCTTGACTTAACATAATGTTGCTAGACATGAAACACGAACAGGCCGGTTTTAAAGATCAAATATACCTGAACCTGTCATGAATCCCAAATGTCACATGAATACATATATCCATAAATTTCATGTTGCTGAGTCATCAATACGACCACGGTGGGTGATGACCATGAAGCGTTGGTGCATCCAAAATACACATGCTGTAGACACGCATAGATCTATTGGCACAGACCTATTTTTCTACGGGTTGTTGTACGGCTGATATGGTAGGAGTTGTTGAGTTGAGTTGAGCTGCGCTTTACGTTACGTCGGCATTATTCCAGCCATATAGTGACAAGATCAAGTCTGCATTCATAAACATCCCCAGGTGCAAAGTCCAAATGAGTTTGTTCAAAACATATATTCATTACATCACTATTTGCAAAGAGAAAATGTCATAGCACCAAACTCAAAAGCTAACAATTCGTCATTCACATTACATAGTTACAATTTATGATACAGGTCAACTTTCTTCAGGAAGTTAACAATGAAATGCCCGCTCACGTGGCAAAAACAGATTTTTCAGATTTATCGCATCATGATATGGTATGAGGGAGCGAGTGAAGTTAGTTTTACGCCGTACTCAGCAATATTCCAGCTCTATGGCGGCGGTCTGTAAATAATCGAGTCTGCACCAGACAATCCAGTGATCAACAACATACAACTGATTGTATATACTGATGGTACATATATTAATACACGCACAGACGCCCATAAAAAACACATGCATGCGCGCACGCACACAGACACCCACAGAACCCCTGTGCACTGGCTGTTAGAATCAGACCTCACACGAGATGATAGAATATAAGACAACAGTGATGTATAATGGCTAAAACGCACGTGTGGCACATCTGGGTCCTGTCCACCCAGCTTTACATGTACAGCTCCCGGTGTCACGTTCACAAGTTCCCGGCTTACAACCTGTTGCACACTGTACACAGTTTCCTCTGTCCGTGTAATAACCGGTCCTGCATTCTGGAACGGACGGAGAATACAGAATACACATGTGGCTTGACTTAACATAATGTTGCTGGACATGAAACACGAACAGGCTGGTTTTAAAGATCAAATATACCTGAACCTGTCATGAATCCCAAATGTCACATGAATACATATATCCATAAATTTCATGTTGCTGAGTCATCAATACGACCACGGTGGGTGATGACCATGAAGCGTTGGTGCATCCAAATACCCATGCTGTAGACACGCATAGATCTATTGGCACAGACCTATTTTTCTACGGGTTGTTGTACGGCTGATATGGTAGGAGTTGTTGAGTTGAGTTGAGCTGCGCTTTACGTTACGTCGGCATTATTCCAGCCATATAGTGACAAGACCAAGTCTGCATTCATAAACATCCCCAAGTGCAAAGTCCAAATGAGTATGTTCAAAACATATATTCATTACATCACTATTTTGCAAAGAGAAAATGTCATAGCACCAAACTCAAAAGCTAACAATTCGTCATTCACATTACATAGTTACAATTTATGATACAGGTCAACTTTCCTCAGGAAGTTAACAATGAAATGCCCGCTCACGTGGCAAAAACAGATTTTTCAGATTTATCGCATCATGATATGGTATGAGGGAGCGAGTGAAGTTAGTTTTACGCCGTACTCAGCAATATTCCAGCTCTATGGCGGCGGTCTGTAAATAATCGAGTCTGCACCAGACAATCCAGTGATCAACAACATACAACTGATTGTATATACTGATGGTACATATATTAATACACACACAGACGCCCATAAAAAACACATGCATGCGCGCACGCACACAGACACCCACAGAACCCCTGTGCACTGGCTGTTAGAATCAGACCTCACACGAGATGATAGAATATAAGACAACAGTGATGTATAATGGCTAAAACGCACGTGTGGCACATTTTGGTCCTGTCCACCCAGCTTTACATGTACAGCTCCCGGTGTCACGTTCACAAGTTCCCGGCTTACAACCTGTTGCACACTGTACACAGTTTCCTCTGTCCGTGTAATAGCCGGTCCTGCATTCTGGAACGGACGGAGAATACAGAATACACATGTGGCTTGACTTAACATAATGTTGCTAGACATGAAACACGAACAGGCCGGTTTTAAAGATCAAATATACCTGAACCTGTCATGAATCCCAAATGTCACATGAATACATATATCCATAAATTTCATGTTGCTGAGTCATCAATACGACCACGGTGGGTGATGACCATGAAGCGTTGGTGCATCCAAATACCCATGCTGTAGACACGCATAGATCTATTGGCACAGACCTATTTTTCTACGGGTTGTTGTACGGCTGATATGGTAGGAGTTGTTGAGTTGAGTTGAGCTGCGCTTTACGTTACGTCGGCATTATTCCAGCCATATAGTGACAAGACCAAGTCTGCATTCATAAACATCCCCAAGTGCAAAGTCCAAATGAGTTTGTTCAAAACATATATTCATTACATCACTATTTGCAAAGAGAAAATGTCATAGCACCAAACTCAAAAGCTAACAATTCGTCATTCACATTACATAGTTACAATTTATGATACAGGTCAACTTTCCTCAGGAAGTTAACAATGAAATGCCCGCTCACGTGGCAAACACAGATTTTTCAGATTTATCGCATCATGATATGGGATGAGGGAGTGAGTGAAGTTAGCTTTACGCCGTACTCAGCAATATTCCAGCTATATGGCGGCGGTCTGTAAATAATGAGTCTGTGATATGGTATGAAGTGGTATTGTGACGTGGTCGCCTAGGCTCGTGGAGTAGGTAATGTTAGAATGAATCGATCACTATCAATTTCGTTGAATGTTTTTATTCATTGTGATTATGTGTGATTGGGACACTGTTAGAAAAATGAACGTCGACTTGTAATGGCGCTTCTAACTGCTTGTGGCTCTTTGTAGACACGATGAAATAATGAAACTTCAAAACAGACACCATGACTAATGGTTAAATTACACAAAATATTAAAAAATTAGAACTTTTCTCCATAAGTTTATCGGTAGTCGATAAAAGAAGAAATTACAACAATGAATGCTATAACAAAACTCCTTATCATTCAGTAACATTACGTGTTAGATAACAGTTGAGAGCTGGAAAACACACGAGCAACAAACAAACGATAGTTCAAAGGCTGTTCTTACTGTTGCAGTGAGTTCCCGTCCAGCCAGTTTGACATGAACAGCTACCGTCAGTCTTGTCACACCCTCCATCACACCCAGCTCCACATGGTGCACAGCCTTGTCCGTAAAAGCCGTCTCTGCATTCTGGAAATTAACACATTCATTTTAATGTTGACCGCTGGCTTGTCACACCTTCCGTTACACCCAGCTTCACACGGGGTACAGACTTGTCCGTCTACGTAAAAGCCGCTACTGCATTCTGGAAATAATAAATTTATTTAAATGTTCACTCCATACAAATTGATAGAGATTCAAAACCACATGCTCATGATAATGTCGAAATTGCAGAGTCGACTCTGATCCTGGCAAAGGATTGTTTGGGTTCTCTCAAAGGGTTTTGACTTTTTGTATAACAATTATTGAGTTGTCATTGATAAAACTTTACGAGTGTTGTATGCTACTTTTCTTTAACATTGGATAATGTACAACATTCTCAAACATCTCTCAAATACGATATCAGTGTCCGAACACCCCGATATCTGTAGTTGAGCAAGTAGATATTCCCAGCGCATATATCCACTAGAAGAAACATTGACACAATAGATCTCCCCACATCCAACTGAGGGCAGGGGACCATGACTGCTGTAGTAGTATGTAAGTATCAGTCAATGGATCGAGTATTTCACATCAACGGGAAGAGTTTCAAACAGAAAATGCTTTTGAGAATAGCACTCATGCGTAACGTCCTTCGCCACAATGCCAAATGATTTGTGTTTAAATAATAACGAGGCAGTTCAAATACTTAAATAATATTAAGACCAACACATCATCTTCACCCATATACTACATTTGTACATTCCGTAAAATGTCTATCTTTCTGAAAGGCTCAATCATTTTGGTCGCATGAGAAAACGAAAGACGAGTGTCAGTGAATTTCCAACCTTGATATTCACGATGAGCAATTGAACAGCAATTAGAGAGTAATGCTGATATTATGAATGTCGATCAAACCTACTCCTGTCATGAGACGTAGGCACATAAAGAACCAACAGTCAAAACACGGTTGATGTTGAGGGACGTTCCTTATCATGTATAGTGCCTTCAGTATACATGTAAGTGGAAAACGTTGGGACAATACCGATTGTTGTACCTAGTCATTAAACTGCAAATAATACCTTCTTTATCTAATAATGAATTGACTTCCATATTTATAATAGTGTTTGGAAAACCTCAGTGTCATCAGGTCTTTTTGTAACAATGTCAGAAGAACATGGTAGCTCGTGTCTCGTCTTTCGATAGCAATTGTAAACCTGTAAATATTGATAGAGATCATTGTACACGGATGGCATGTAAAGTGTACGATGAAGTCACCAAAGGCCACTGCACTCCACCATCTTAGTAAACTACTGAGAGATGAAAATCACTAACCTAATGTAAAAGCATGTTAATTCAGGATAACCATGTAGCCCTGGATCAAGCGAAACAGACATCGAAACAGACTCAGTAGCGGAAAGGGTTAAATGAATAACAGGAACCTCCTTCTGAAAGTTGTATGCAGATGTAGCAACTCCCTGTCCTCAATGAGAAGTGGCAAAGAATTATGGCACATGGGAAAAAGGTTGTGGATATCCCCATCGATTGGAGGTGATGTGACAGTGGAAGTAAAACAATGAACGTGAGAGAACTTTAGAGACAATATGCAATCTGGAACTGTCTTAAATTCCTTAAACTATGCATCTGGAAGTTGACCGATAACCGGAAGGGGCAGTAGTGTGACAGTAGATCCTGATCCTTGATAAAGTTTAACCTCAAGACTACCCGGGCTCGACACAACTTGTGTTGGGGGTATAAGCGACTCCAAGTGACATCGGGGAGAAGTAGATGGCATAAAACCATACACATGGCATGCTCAAAGCACTGACATGTTACCCCTTGTCAACCAGTACAGAACCCTCCCTGTGAAGAATACAATTGGTCATCTGTCAGGCGCTCAAGGTCCAAATTCAGGCTACCATCGTACCATACCAGGTACCCAATTTTCTGCTGTGTGGACAGAGGCAATTTTGAACAAACTCAAGTGGGACCACATCTATCACATGTGCTTCGTTGTGGAGCAGGATTGAAATCCTAGAAAGTCTTAGCAGTCAAGGTCACGGTCACCCATCCAAAAGCTCTCCACGCCCAATGTTGCTTAACTTCAACTGATTCGTGACCTGTATACGCACAGGACCACACACCACCATCACCAGTGCCTTGTATTCGATGATCATAGAACACTGGAGTTTTTTATTCTATGTGCACTCAGAAATATTCCAGCTATATGGTGGCAATTGGGATATGATGACATGTGTCAGCCTGAACTACAGATCCTATTAGTCACCTCTTACGACAAGCATGGGTTGCTGAGGAACTCGGATCTTCCCTGGGCCTTTGGAGGCTGTAAGTACTGTAGACGGACAAAGGAGGCGGAATGATGGCCGAAAATGCGTAGCAACAACGAGATCGTCCAACAGCGACCACTCTCGTCTGCACAACAGATATTTGGTTCGGCTGATCCTTGGAGACACGAGGGGTCAAAACAAGCGTCGAAAGTTCTCGCTGAGGTACAAGTTGGATGAAGTGTCAAGTACATCATCGAGCCTTCATTGTAGATCGCTTCCAACTCATTGGACTTATGTTTAAAGTCTCTGCCCTTTGTCCTCCTGAGACCCGTTAAGATCCGGGGTAGAATAGGTCTTCAGCAACCCATGTGCTTGCCATAACAAGGCGACTATCTTGTCGTAAGAGGCGACTAACGGGATCGGGTGGTCAGTTTCGCTGACTTGGTTGACAAATGTCATCGGTTCCGAATTGCGCAGATCGATGCTCATGCTGTTGATCACTGGATTGTCTGGTCCAGACT